GCTCCGCTCCTTCTTCACCACGACGGATCGGTACATCGACCGCATTACTGCAGAAGCTGCATCGATCCGCCTGTCAATCTCCCGTTTCATCCTTCCCTCACTCGTGAACAAGACCCCAAGATACTTGAACTCCTCCACTTGAGGCAGGAACTCTCCACCAACCTGAAGGGAACAAGCCACCCTTTTCCGGCTGAGAACCATGGCCTCGGATTTGGAGGTGCTGATTCTCATCCCAGCCGCTTCACACTCGGCTGCAAACCGCCCCAGTGCATGCTGGAGGTCCTGGTTTGATGGGGCCAACAGGACAACGTCATCTGCAAAAAGCAGAGACGAAATCCTGTGGTCCCCAAACCGGACTCCCTCCGGCCCCTGGCTGCGCCTAGAAATTCTGTCCATAAAAATAATGAACAGAACCGGTGACAAAGGGCAGCCCTGCCGGAGTCCAACACGCACTGGAAAAAAGTCTGACTTACTATCGGCAATGCGAACCAAGCTCCTGCTCCGATCGTACAGGGACCGGGTAGCCCTTAGCAAAGGGCCCCGGACCCCGTACTCCCGGAGCACCCCCCACAGGGCGCTGCGAGGGACACGGTCGAATGCCTTCTCCAGATCCACGAAGCACATGTGGACTGGTTGGGCAAACTCCCATGAACCCTCCGCCACCCTGAAGAGGGTATAGAGCTGGTCCAGTGTTCCACGGCCAGGACGAAAACCACATTGTTCCTCCTGAATCCGAGGTTCGACTATCGTTCGAATTCTCCTCTCCAGTACCCTGGAGTGGCTCGAAGCCTGAATGCTTTTAATTACAGTTAAATGTGCACTGTTTTCATGTGTTCGTAGGAGTGACTACATCTCCAATTAAAATATAAAACATTATTGCTTCTATTTTTCTGCCTCCCAGTTTGAGTCAAATGTGTAAAACGTTCATACTGAAAGATATCAGCATTTCTCATGTCTTAATACTTTTATCATGTTCATGGCAAAATGATTCAACTCCCAGTGTCACTGGTGAATTTCTTTTTTTTTTATGGCACTGGTAATTGTATTATAAGTCAGAGAGAGAATAGTGGGAGTCAACTTAGGCTGTCTGCTGTGCAAAAGTAATTTCCCTGCATGTTCAAATGTTCCTGGTGCTTTAATGAAATAAAAAAAAACGCCCTGGTCACAAAGTGTAGATTTACCCAAAGCCATATTACCAGCAGAAGCTCTTTCTCTGGGTAATAATACATTTGTGATTTTTGTGCGCAATCTTGGCTGTTTCCTGTTAGATTCATCCTTAAAATTACATTCACACATAATTACAAGGTCTGAGCAGCAAAATGGAAATGGAGGTTGGAAATGAAGGATACAGTTCACACAAATCTCTAAAGTGCCTCTCCACCCAAAAGCCTATGTTTGTGTTAGCTGTGCACAATGTAAATCTGAGTTTAAGACTCAAATATAAGAATGTTTGAGATCAGAACTCATCGTGGTTCGATAATGAAGTTACACAAATGGAATATGGGAACTTGAAACTCTGCGTAAGCCAAGATTCTGGATTTTTCGATGAGGAAAAAGGAGGATATGCAGTTTTAATCGTTTTCAATAAGAAATTTGAATGTATTTTTTTAAAGGGAGAACCATACTGACGTAGCCTATGTAACTGTAAGACCATTACTAGCGTCTCAATATTTAAAGGTCAATAAAATAATTTATACAAAAGCCTAAACCTTTATAGGGAACACCACTGACAACAATAACTATCCTCCCATGACATGGAGTAACGGGCTCCACTGAAGCTCTTGCCTTCATTTCCTTCTATATGTTCACAAAAGCAGCTAACAACTCTTTTAAACCAATAATTATTCTTTTAACATGTTACTTCATTGGTCTATGACAACACATATTGTATTTTATCATAGTTTTTGTTTCATTTGCTTTAATTTAAACATTTTAAATCTTTCACACAGATGGTATCAAAGGAGTTGAGTCAGACTTATCTGGGAGTTTGTTTTAAGGTGCAGTCATTACAGGTGGTGCACCTTTGCTAATATGTCAGTTTCATCCGATTATATGTCCGCTAGGAAATGATATTTTCATTTTTCTACATACTTCCTGTTGTTCTGTTTAGTGAAATCAGAGCAACGTGCTCCAGAATGACCTCATTTGTCCGTGTTATCTGTTTATGTGTCGCTCCTCTCGGAGGATACGCAGCAATATATAAATGTATTTATAGTTAATGATGATTTGGTAGCAGGCAGTGCTGGATGTGCTCTGTCACTACTCAGATGTTAAATTTAATACAATATAGATGTGCCATAGAATCACAAGACCATCCCGTGTGTCACAAAATATCCTTGGCAGTGAACTGCATAGATGTATGAAGATCTGATTGTGAAATTAATTTCTTAATGTGTTTCTATTAACAAAACATTGTAAAAATAGGCTACATTCATGTAACATAATCACTAGCTTTATCAACAGAACACCTTGCTTAGCTTTTGTCGTGTGTTATCAATCTCCTCTTCTACCTTATAGCAAGAAAGTGTAAGCTATACATGTTTATGAAAAGACATTTTAAACATTTGTTCATCTGATGTTTTAGACAAATAGCTATGGTGTTATATGTGTCTTTATATTAGCTTTGAAAAACGTCAGCCAATTGGAGCTCAACATTGTCTGGATGTTCTGTCCTGTGCAGGTGTCTCAGTAAGCATTTCCACCTTCAACCTGGTGGCCATCTCTCTGGAGCGCTACAGTGCCATTTGCAACCCGCTGACCTCCAGGACATGGCAGACCAAATCCCACGCAGCCAAAGTCATCACTGCCAGCTGGGTGGCCTCTTTTATCCTGATGCTGCCCTACCCCATTTCTAGCACCCTCATGTCTTTTACCCGCTTCGACAACAGCACCGGAAACATGTGCCGCCTGATCTGGCCCAATGAGGTCATCCAGCAGTCCTGGTGAGCTGAAAATAAATGGTAGCATCATACCTTCAGTTTCCCACCAGGGTGTAGTTTAGCAGCAGAACTGCCCCAATGCTAAGTTCAGATGCCCCCTTATTTTCTCACCACATGGGGAAATCTTCTGGCAGCTCTTCAAAATAAAAGCACATTAATTTCAATTACATGTTTTGGCTCTAATAAGACGAAAGCATTTTTCCTGTGTTGATTTAAACTCAGTGAATGTTTGTTTGCCTTCACTTCCTCTCAGGTACGTGTCTCTGCTACTGCTGCTCTTCCTAATCCCTGGGATCGTCATGATGACAGCCTATGGACTCATCTCCCTAGAGCTCTACCGGGGCATCAAGTCTGAGCTGTCCAACAGAAAATCTTGCAGAGGTATGAAAATAAAACATACAAGGTGAGTAAATCTATCTTTAATCTTTTTTTTTTTTATTTGACAGAAAAGTCTGGAATTGATTAGTATTTTATGTGTCATCAACAAATCCAGTGAAAGGACCCAGACTTTTTCTTTTTCATTAACATAAATGAGAATAACTATTGGGCTCTACAGACAATGTTTGATAGTGGGATTAATTCACCTTTGCTTGTGGTCACTTCATGTGTTTTTAGGCAATAAAAATGATATTAAATATCACCAGACATTTTTTGATATTACCATAATGAGGAGTTTCATTTTTACTAGAAATCCTGACAAACTTAACTCCAACTCTTAAAGTCATAAAAGTGTTGCCAGGAACTTTTATCCTTCTGCTAAAACTAGCACACTCTTTTCAGACAGACAATCCAGCACTGGAAGCATCAAGCCAGGGGACAGTGATGGCTGTTACCTGCAGCCACTGAAAAAGAAGAGCATCGCAGTGAGTACAGGCAATGTCGCCAACTCCGGCAGCATGCCTGTGGTGGTGCGTGTGTGTGGCAGCAACGCTACATCCAACCTGATGGCCAAGAAGCGTGTGATCCGCATGCTCCTGGTCATCGTCTTCCTTTTTTTCCTTTGCTGGACTCCTGTCTTTGTGGTCAACGCGTGGAAGGCTTTTGACAAGCGCCCGACGTACCATTTGACCGGTGCGCCCATCTCCTTCATCCACCTGCTGTCCTACATGTCGGCCTGCGTCAACCCCATCATCTACTGCTTCATGAACAAGCGCTTCCGCCAGGGCATGCTGACTACCTTCACTTGCTGCAGCTGTTTCGGGAGGAGCAGCGGAGAGAGCAGTGGCTTAGAGAAGTCACCTGGAAACACAGTGGCCAAAAGGGAAGTCAAATCAAAAGCGGGGCCAAAGACCACTGAGCAGAACGGTCACTACTCGCCAAACGGACCCAGCACACGCTTTACCTACACTGGCATCCGTGCATCAGAGTCGACTTAAACTGGACTGATATACCTGAGTGCAAACACTTGAAGGGAATCTGCGTTGTACTGTTTTAATGTAAAGCCCTCACAGCGCTTATAGGATCCGTTTGTGAGCAGCTATGTTGCTTTAGCTTGAAGTGCAATGTGACGTGGGTACGGTAGCTGAAGCTTGCAGTGTACAGGGAAGCTGACTGATGCTTGATCATTTAAAACCAAGAATGTTTTTATGAAGCATGTAGTTTACCGTTCTCTGTATATTCTCTTAAAACATTTTAGGTGTTCCTTCTACCACGTCCTGTGTGGTAGGCAGGCAGTTTTTGTTTTTTTACACCAAGGTCTCCCACCTGGTTCTTCAAGAAAGAACCTGCAGAAAGTACTAAGCCCAGGTAGAATGACTGATAACAATTCTACAAAACATCTTTTATATATACATTACCTACTATCCAGAGAGCCACTGCTTGCCATTCAATTCTGTCCAATAGGAAAAAATCCTTTTGAAACTCTCTTAACTTGTGTAATCCACCATACTTTCATTATTGCAGTTTAAAGCACAGTGCATCAAGTCTCAACAATAATGTAATGTTGACATTTTGGCTCATTATCTTTTTTTGTTGTTGTTGTTGTTGAGAATTAGATGACAAGATGGATACCACTCTCTTACCCATGTTAACCTGTGATGAGAGGCAGGCAGATTTGTGATTAGGAACTGGTCGCAGTCTGTCCAGTGCACAAAGTACAACCACCAACACCTCTAAAAGTGACTAATGAATACTCGGCATATCCTTTGTTTAAGCCATACTCAAACAGAAACGTAAGAGCAAGCCCGTTCTGTTTGTGTACTAATGCTATGTTTGTTAAGCTAACATAATCACCCCCCCAGCTCCGGCTCTATAGACTACTTGATGCGGAAGCAAATACACTATTCCTTTACCATTCACCTTGACAACTGTGTGATTTGCTGTATGGAAAATAACTGCAAACTAAGAACTGAAAGCTAGGAAAGCAAGTCTTAACATAAAGGTCATCAGGAATTGTAAACTATTCATGATTTGTAGTAAAGCTCACTGGTATGGCCCTTTAATTTCTGCCAGGGGCTCAGTGTAACACTCAAACTTGTAAACAGGCATTCATTTGTCATTTTCAGCAGCGTAACCACGCTCAGCAGCTTCAAGTTAGTCACAAATAGTTCTGCACTCGTCCTTGACCCACTGTGTGTGTGTGTGTGTGTGTGTGTGTGTGTGTGTGTGTGTGTGTGTGTGTGTGTGTGTGTGTGTGTGTGTGTGTGTGTGTGTGTGTGCCTGCCTAAGAGGGCTGTACTGTGTGTACTACAGGAACTGGAGAGGCCTTATCATTTTGTGGGACTTTGAACACCTGCATCTTCAAAGAGCAAACTCCCGGCATCACCCGCCTGATTTCCACAGATTCATACTGTTAAATATAGCTGCATGTAGCAAACTATTCCCATTAAGTTCTCTTGTATCAGTGTGTTGCTATTTGACGTTTATGGCTTTAATATTGCTCTGTAAATTCTTACTTTTATGTTTGATGGAGAATGCTGGATTTATTTTCCTGCATGGTAACATTCCCGTCTTGACCAAAGTCCTCATAAATTTGTGTGCACATAATTGAATGTAAACAAATAATTTTACTGGTTTATTATGTACATTTGAGAATGGCATTGTTTTGTGACAAACCTATGATCCATCTAGGACTAACCAACGCCTGCTTGACCATATATCTTAGGTGCAGAGTGTGCGACAGTGTCAGCAAACACCTGTGGCAGAGCAACTTGGAGATATTAACAGCCTTAATAAAAGTGGATCTAAAGGGCAGGGGGGCATTAGGGCCCAGACAAGTGGTGGGAAGGGGGTCGGGGGGTTTGCTGGGACTTCATCATGGGGTTAGGAGTTCCATCTGGGCTTGGTCGGAGCACAAAGCCCCGCCCACCTTCACCCTGCAGCCACTGGGAGACGTTAAACTGTCACAGGAGGAAGAAAGATACAAATGTTAATCTTTACATAAAAGAAACAACTTTGTCTTCATGTGTTCCAGAATTAAATGACATGGAGTAAAAGCGCTAAAACATACCTGCTTAAGTTTCTGATGATGATTAAAAACATACACAAAGTGAGAATTTATATCACATTTTTTTTATTTCTCATTTTTATGCCAATATTGCAAGTTTTTTTTTTCTTGTTTTTTTTTTCTTCTTTAAAGACATACAGATTTGAGCATGATGTGGAGCTGCAATATGTACAGAACAAAACTTACATGTTATCGAAAAAAAAAATCCCCTTTGTTTTGATATTATTGCTAAATGTTAAACGGCACAGGTTTCTACCATCAGCAACCCTTTGAGCACTGAGTATACTACTACAATGACACCTCTGCTTACCATTTACTAGAATAAAACACAGATACAGTGAGCATGAGAGAGTGCACGGAGGAGAGGAGGAAAGGACGTGACAACAAAAACAAAGTGATCCGACTGCAGCAAAGCCAAGCACGTTAAAAACAAAAAGGGAAGGGGAGGAGCGAGAAAACTCCAAATGTACATACACAAACACAAAGAGCGAGGATGAAATGCGTGAGATAAACAAAGATTAGCACTCTGTAGTGCAAACAGCCAAATAGTCTTAAGGAGAAGTAAGGCTGAGTGCGACAGAGAAGGGCTCCACACATTGTTTTGTTTTTTTAAAGCTGCCTCTCACTCTGCCCTGTTCTGTTCAGCAGTGCATGAAAACTACATTATAAAAGACATTTGGCATATTAGAGGATACATACATTGTTCAGAGCTCTTTATATAAAAACACAAGAACAGCTGCTTTTGGAAGAGTAAAACTAATGTGACCAGACACAGACAGAAAGGTTAGAATATTGTGTAAAAGCAAATGCTTCGAGATTTTGTTTGTCCTCTGAAAGCTTTGACGCCAGCGTGCGTTTAAGAAGGCATGTAACATTTTGCGACCCCTTGTGACAGCTCGTCCTCTTTATGAGTGAGGCATGTTATCAAGTTCTTCTATATCCTCCCTCTTTCGATTCCAGACGCTTTAAAATAAACTAAACCAGCTCGGATTGTCAAGGCGACACATTTTTAAAAAGCATGCATCACCCCCTTTTGTTAGTGTGAGAGTGATGAAGCTGCTCTGTTCATACTCGCATGAGGAGATGAAGAGGAGCCAGGGGTGTTTAGCCGTAAAAGAGGCGACTCGACATGTAAACAAAAACCCAAAAAATATCAAGGCTTGGGTGGAGGGTGGGGTGTGACGCTGATGCAGAGGTTAAAACTGGCTGAATTTAGAGCTAGTAGACATGGGAAAACACTCAAGTTGAAAATCTACAGTTAAGATTTTGTGACCTCCGTCCTGCACGGCACAGGGTTCAGGCGGGTCTGCAGCTCGTCGCAGGAGTTCAGTGTGAAGAAGCACACATATTCGCTTTTGATGCTACACTGGCGCTGCAGTACCGACTACTTGACAATTCCAGGACAGACAGGAAGTGGCCTCTTCAAAATACAACCCAGGCCAACCTAGGCAGCATGGGCAATAATGCACTTTTCTTTATTTTTTGACATAAAACAAGGGGAGACTGTGCCAATAATTTAAAAAATATCAATTTACAATATAAAACATTAGGCATTAATGACGGACATGGTGGCGTAATGGAGGCATAACTTAACCTTTTGTTCTTTACACTAAAAGCGGGCACAAGTGAATCCTGTTTTGTTCCTATTCCAAGGTTTCTGAAATGTTTCATCAAGCAGACATTTAAGTTACAGTACTGCCGTTCTTTGTCCCGGAAGTTTACACAGCTGTACTGTAATACAAAGATCACAAGTATTGCCTTTGAATGTTTATCCACAATTTCCAGACATTTGGATTCAGGTGGAAGACAGAAAAGCCCAATGAAGCTCCAGTTTGCTTTATTTTGGAGAGCAGTTTTGAAAGTCTAACTCAATACTCCATTACAGCCACAACGCATCTCACACGCACACACATTTGCTGGCTGGTGAACTAGTGCTCAGGCGAACAAAAACAAATGAAATGACCTGTACAATATTGCTGTTATGTTCGGAAATGCACATCTTGAATAACACACACTTAGAAGGCCTTTACGCGGTTGCCATGACCACAGATGAGTGCAACTACTCTGACAGTGAGTTTATAATGTACATGCTTGTTTCTGCAAAGAGAATAAACCACAGGCAATAAAAAAAACAAAACAAAACAAAAAGAGATTACAGCGCTTGTGAGACATTGTACCAAAACTGAGAAGGTGCCAGGCACCACATGACAAGAAGAAATGGCCTTATTGTACATGTTCACCAAATAAAAAAAAAACAAAACCCGAAGGCTGAGAGATCCTTCAGAAGGCTGCTCTGCTCTGAATGACAAGGTGGTTCTGGAGCTGCAGCAACCAGCTGGAAACAGCAGAGCTCCTGTGATAAGCAGTGCAGTAGCTTGTTTTTGTGCTATGCACAGGCTCTTCCCAAGGTGAGTAAACAGCAGATTAAAAAAAAAAGGTGACTTCTTTTTTTGTAATCAAAGTTTTCAGTAAGGCCACATCGAATTGAAAAGCATTCGTCTTTTTCAGAAAACTGCTGGGGTGTAAATGCCACCAGAACCACAGCACACGACCGGAAGACACCTTGCTAGGCGCAGAGGCAAGTTTCACTACGCTATCTGATACATTAACAGTGACAGATACAGGATATTAGATATGTGACTGGTTCGACTGTGTACACAGTAAGAATATACAGTACTAAGGCTATCCTTTAAGTCGATGACTACGCTTATTACATTAGTTTGAAAATGACAAACCGACTTGTTTTCGTGACCATGGAAGTCTAGTTTGATGTACAGTGCCTTGCGAAAGTATTCGGCCCCCTTGAACTTTGTGACCTTTTGCCACATTTCAGGCTTCAAACATAAAGATATAAAACTGTAATTTTTTGTGAAGAATCAACAACAAGTGGGACACAATCATGAAGTGGAACGAAATTTATTGGATATTTCAAACTTTTGTAACAAATAAAAAACTGAAAAATTGGCCGTGCAAAATTATTCAGCCCCCTTAAGTTAATACTTTGTAGCGCCACCTTTTGCTGCGATTACAGCTGTAAGTCACTTGGGGTATGTCTCTATCAGTTTTGCACATCAAGAGACTGAAATTTTTGCCCATTCCGCCTTGCAAAACAGCTCGAGCTCAGTGAGGTTGGATAGAGAGCGTTTGTGAACAGCAGTTTTCAGTTCTTCCCACAGATTCTCGATTGGATTCAGGTCTGGACTTTGACTTGGCCATTCTAACACCTGGATATGTTTATTTGTGAACCATTCCAATGTAGATTTTGCTTTATGTTTTGGATCATTGTCTTGTTGGAAGACAAATCTCCATCCCAGTCTCAGGTCTTTTGCAGACTCCATCAGGTTTCCTTCCAGAATGGTCCTGTATTTGGCTCCATCCATCTTCCCATCAATTTTAACCATCTTCCCTGTCCCTGCTGAAGAAAAGCAGGCCCAAACCAGGATGCTGCCACCACCATGTTTGACAGTGGGGATGGTGTGTTCAGGGTGATGAGCTGTGTTGCTTTTACGCCAAACATAACATTTTGCATTGTTGCCAAAAAGTTCGATTTTGGTTTCATCTGACCAGAGGACAGGGAAGATGGTTCAAATTGATGGGAAGATGGATGGAGCCAAATACAGGACTATTCTGGAAGGAAACCTGATGGAGTCTGCAAAAGACCTGAGACTGGGACGGAGATTTGTCTTCCAACAAGACAATGATTCAAAACATAAAGCAAAATCTACAATGGAATGGTTCACAAATAAACATATCCAGGTGTTAGAATGGCCAAGTCAAAGTCCAGACCTGAATCCAATGGAGAATCTGTGGAAAGAACTGAAAACTGCTGTTCACAAATGCTCTCCATCCAACCTCACTGAGCTCGAGCTGTTTTGCAAGGCGGAATGGGCAAAAATTTCAGTCTCTTGATGTGCAAAACTGATAGAGACATACCCCAAGTGACTTACAGCTGTAATCGCAGCAAAAGGTGGCGCTACAAAGTATTAACTTAAGGGGGCTGAATAATTTTGCACGCCCAATTTTTCAGTTTTTTATTTGTTAAAAACGTTTGAAATATCCAATAAATTTCGTTCCACTTCATGATTGTGTCCCACTTGTTGTTGATTCTTCCCAAAAAATTACAGTTTTATATCTTTATGTTTGAAGCCTGAAATGTGGCAAAAGGTCGCAAAGTTCAAGGGGGCCGAATACTTTCGCAAGGCACTGTATTCTGCAAATGTTGCTATGGCTCCATATGAGATGTACTGATGTGTATACGTTCCAAAGGAGACATAGCGCACACAGAGTATTGCAGGCAAGGCAGAGGCATTGCTTAAAGCTTTTCTTTTTAAAGACTTCATAAAAACCAATGATTAAAAAATAGGCCCTCTGAGGTTATTTATTAAAAAAAAAAAAAAACCTTCACTTACGTAAATAAACAACCCAAACTTCAGATTTTTCCCCAACAAAAGAAGCAAGAGTATCAAAACAAAAGCTCAGTCCAAAGACTGAAAAAGCAGGTGTCTGTAGTAAGGTTGCAATAATATACAGGTTGGGATTTTGGACCTCAACGGGGGAAAACAAAGCCCAAGCTCAGAGGAAGAATAGAAACTATTTGGTAACAAAAGTGGACTATATGTTTAATACAAAAAAGGTATGGAGAAAAATGTACCTTTACTAAAGCTTATACAAGATCCTTGGTCCATAAAAACTATGTTATCGTCATGTTTTTAGGTGAGTCCCTCTTCATCCCCGTGCTTCCTCCAACAACAATACATCCAGCCCCCTTAAGAAGACCACAAATTAATGCAAAATAATACAAACACAAAAGGAATATTTATAAGAGACGGGGTGGAGGGTTGAGTAGGAGGAGGGGGGGAGCAGGGCAGCGCAAAAATATACTTTCCTTTCAAGAGCGTTTTTTTGCACACGGTGGATGTATTGTTGTTGTGGTTTCCATTCTTGCAGCCACAGAATGGTGCTGGTGCTCTGAGCCTGCAGGAACTTCACTCATTCCAAACACCAGACCTGGATAGGCAAGTCCCTAAAGTAACCACAGGAGAGGGGGCGTGTCAAGGAGCGCGTTCACTTCCGTTCAACTTGATGTCACTCCTTCAGATTTCACCTGCGTTTGCTCCTTTGTCCTGCCGATTTTTCCGCTTCAGTTTCTTTGTATCCAAGATTAACACGCAGCACTTCAGAGTGAGTCAGTTTTTATTATTTCCCATAGTCTTTATATACCTTCCGGTACGTTTGCTCTCAAGGCATGTTGTACTGCGTGCGTTACGAGACCACAGCTGCAGAGGTGGAGGATGAGGATGTGACTCCTGCGTTGGTGCTGCTGGGGCCATATACGGCAGCGCCGGGCTCCTGGCTGCTGCTGCTCAGCAGGCTCGAGTTTCCAGCCCGCAGGATGGCCCCGGCGGCGCTGCAGTGCGGCCGCGGCCCGGGCTCCGGTGTGTAGGTGAAGGTCAGTGTGGTGGAGTAGATGATTCCATCATTCCTCACCAGTGTCACAGGCACCTGGACAGGCTGCCGCACCCAGCGCCAGCCCTCACGGAAGGCGGAGATGTCGGGCACAACACACAGCATGCTCTCTGCACACCTGAGGTGTGTTTAGTGAAGAAAGAAACAACACAAAGAATGATGGAAAACTTGTCTGGTTTCGTCAGTATGACACGTTCGGGCTTTTGACATGGTCAGTTTTTCTGCCTCTTGAGCTGCACAATGTTCTGCTGTGTTCACCAACTAGTTGCTAACTGTCCATCTGCTCCTCAGTGCTGAGCAAGTACTGAACATTTTTGCGGTACACAGCTGCAAACAACGCTATGAGAGTGGTGAAAGTGAACCCAGACCAAGTTGCAGGACAGAAAACCGCTAAAGTAAATTTTACAACTTCTGCTTTATATATAATTTCAATAAGGTCAATAAGCATTAAATCTTATACCGAGTCCTATTATGACAGAGAATATACGGTGATATCGTAAACATTTCCTGAAAATTAATATAGAAAACATAATTTTAAATAATGGAGTAAATTAAATGTCTCAAACTAAATTCTCTTATTTAAAAAAAATCATATTTATTCCTATGCAGAACAGGAAACACTATGTATTCGACCATAAACTACTGTTACCCTGCTTTGAGTCTGAGACCTTTCTTACATCTCTTTCCTCCCTCACTTCCTGTCATCTCTCTACTAATAATAATAACTAATGATATGTGTTGGACACATCCACACAAGGCATCTGTCAAAACACCTCAGCACTTCTGTAGCTCTGCACTAAGGCAAGTCCCACTGTTTCGCTGACAGTGATCACTGCGATGCTTCCTGTTCTCCCTTCATGTCTCTAGTTTAATTCTTTGTGGGTGGCACTGACAAACACATCAAATCTAATCCATATACAAAACCCAACATGTTAGCGTAATGGCATTTTACGAGAGTTTGGTAGAATCTGGGTCTTAAACAGTTTGTGGCTTGTTCAAACAAAAGAAAAAACCCTGTAGAGGTTTGAAGAAGACGAGTACACATTTTAATTAAATAGACAGATCTCATTTTGTGCTAGAAATGGAAAAGAGCCCTTCAAGTAGCCTGATAAATCACAGTGTGCACAAAAAGGAGGAACGCATGGAGGAAGAAATACAATACGACATAATTAATTGGTGCGAGTCTTAAACAACCTCTAGGAAAAATGAAACTGGACATAGGCACACCTGTACATGGTCTCAGCCTCAACATCGCCGAACCAGACCCGTAGCTTTGGAGTGAAGTTTTGTCCTGTCAGCTCCAACATGGCGACATCGCCGCCACCGTTCAGCTGCAGACAAAAAACATAATCTAGTAACCTAAACAAGTCAACGCTGTCACAGCAGTTCTAGCTACTTCAGAAAGTATTTGTAAACACAGTCTTTCTCTTGATATCATGGGTTACTCAGTGTCGACTGATCGATAAAAAGGAATTTTATGCACTTAACATTAAATCTATAACATGCAGGTTCTGTGTACCTGTAAGCTCTCTACCACAGGCACGGGGGTGACAGGCGAGTGGACAGGGCCCATGCCCTCGTAGAAAGTGTATTCAGCCTTGTCTGTGCTGATGATTGTCCAGGAGGCGCCGTCATTGATCATCTCCTTGTTTGGTTCCTTTGGGCATGGAGTGGCCTAGTGGAGGGGAAGATGGGGAGACATGACCTTTAATGCGCACCAGGGGCAGAGATAACCACCAACAATTACACCCAATCAAGACTACTCTCCCCAGGACTGCAATTAAATGTCACCCTCTGACTTTGCAAGACTGGAGGTGAGTAGCCTTCACACTGTTCTTCAAAGAAGAAAAAAAAGGCGCCCTGTCCTGAAATATCCTCATACTTTATAATAAAGGTATATGATAGAGGCAGGACTGAGCTCAAATTCACTTTCAATGCAGTCCAGTCTAAGGTACAGAGAATGCTAAAGCAATCATCCTCAATCATCTGTCGGCAGTAAAAGGCTGACTTGATCTGATGGTGAAATGACCCTGAACTGATGTGAACAAGTGAAGACAAGGCAGATGTAGAAGTGATTGGATGAGACACTGACTTGAAACTGAATGATCCTTTCTTGGGAAAGGCACAGGTACATGCGTTCTGTGTCCTTCAGGTAGAAGGCACACTTGTGGAGCTGGGAGACAGGGTCGTCGGCATCCAGCAGCGCCGTCTGCTTGTCCACCTTACGGATGATCTGAAAGGGAAAGAAAGCGAAAGATTAGCTGCTTGGAAGGCGGATACCTACATGAATGTAAAGGAAAATGAAACTAAAACTGTCAGGACAGCTACTGGGTAAACCAAGGTCTGTTACTTTATGTTGAAGGAATAGTTCAACATTTTGGGAAACACAGTCACTTTTTTGAGTTTAATAAGTAGATCGCTCCTGTACCATTCTCATTTAGGAGTCAGGAGATGGTTAGCTTAGCATAAATACTGGAAACACAGGCAAAGAGCAGCTAGCCTGGCTCTGTCCAACCTTCCAGTACAATACATCTCATTGGCTAAATCCATACAAAAGTGTATCCCCACTGGGATAATCTGTTTCAGTTAGACTTTTCTGATCTTAAATCGCGTGCTTCTTTTACCAATCTGGGCAGGGCCATGCCGGTGACGGAGCAAACCAGCTTGACTGTCTGGCCGTAGTGGATATAACCGTCTCTCACAGTGAACTCTTCTCCTTCTGACTCCTCATCATCCACTGAACATACACAAAGCAGAAAAGAAGTCAGTGCTGCAACAACACACCCACGGACATCAACCATTTTCATACACTCAAAACTTTGTCAATCAATCGCGTTCTTTGTCTGTGATGAATCAGCTGTGTAATTACTACAATGCAGTGTGGGGTTGACAGAAAAAAACATGAAGACAAAATGTCAAAGCTGACAAACCACATCAGAGTCTCCTCATTTTACTCCAAACCTCTGTACGATTTGAACCTCTAAATTCATTCCATAATGGTTTATGCAGTGTGCTTGTGCTACAGTAACAGCTCAAGCTAAATTATACTTACATAGGTGGATGTAAAAAGCGCCCCACTGCTGGGAGCTGGCGTGAAAGTTGCCGCCCTCCACGTGCAGATAGCGCGTGCTGACTGTTTGGGACCGCAGCCGGTTGAACAGCGCCACCTTGGTCCCTGATGCTATGCACACTGTGGAAAAACATGAGCAAGAACATACAGACACGGGCAGGTTACATAGGTCAGGCTTGTTGACGCTGTGACAAGAAGTGAGAAAATGGACATGAAACAAATGTCAGCAGGAGCTGATATGTGCAGTACAGGTGTGGAGTCTATATTAACAACTGGGCTACTGGACAATCCATTTTCCTTTCTCTTGTTTGCATGTTTTTTCAGCCTTATTCTTGTTTCCTCGTTGCATTACAGAAGAGCATTGTACATACAAATTGAGAGCCACTGTGCCCCAGTCAAATTCCTCCTGTGTCCAACACACCTGGCCAATAAAGCTGATTCTGATTCTGATATGAAGATACACCTCCCTCTAGTGGCTGGGAATAATAACAACAATAAAGCTCCCAGACCTCATAATAAACTACTTATGCAAGGCTTTTCCAAACAGAAGTAATCATGTGCTTCACATAGGAAAACTGAGATTAAAACATTTCAGTGCTAAAATTAAATAACAGTATAATTAAATAAATAGTAAAAGTAATTTTAAAAGGCAAAGAAGTGGCATGGAAGAAAATACACAAGAATAAATCACAATGAAAAAAAGAATGAATTGCATAGTGAAAAATAAGTGAACAAGTCGGCTATAAAAAAATGTATGCTTTTATTATGAAGACTGAAATGGATGAGTGCAACTGGTTAAATCCCTTTTTGTTAAAAAAATATTTATTCTTTCCTCACTGCCTATCGCCCTTAATTCTGCATAACTTTAGCCTCAGTATCATTTAATTCACCCCTTGTGCTGTAAAGGTGTGTATTTTAACATGGGAGTCTATGGGGACCGACTCTCTAGGCGACAGCCTCAGGTGGCCATTCGAGGAACTGCAGGTTTAACACTTCTGCATCACCTTCATTTCTCATTCCTGGAGGTTGCCTCTTGGTTTAAACCTGGTAAATTAGCCCATGCTTTCACACAATGTCACAGCCAAAACACACAAGCACACATGAACAACTCACAGTCAGCATTTTTGAGCGACTGCTTCTTTTTGGAGGGTTTGGAGATGACTTTGATCCTCTTGCTGAGGAAGACACCGATGTCGGCGCTGTTTCCATAGAACATCTTGACAGACAACATGAAGTGCTTTCTTTTGTCGGAGTCAGATATGTACAAGGTTTTGGCTGTGCAATAATTCTGCAAAGAAAGCAAACAGTATTAACAATTCCTGGCAGTTTTTCCCCCCATGTGTATACACACAGAAAAGCTACGTAGAAATCAGGAGGTAAAAATTAAACTACTGGTTGTTACGCAGACAGACACGGAGCTCAGATTTCCATCCAAACAGCGGCCTTTTAATCGTCATTAGAAATCTATCTTCTGCTACCTGTTTGTCTCCCCAGTCAGCAGAAACATTATGTGTGGGTGTTGTACCTTTCCCTCTAAGTTAAGCTGCTGCATTTCTTGGTCGCTGTTGCCGATGCCGATGAAGGCACAAGGCTGCGACTCCTGCTCAGAGCAGCCATCTCGCTCCATCTGGTCCTTCTTTTTCTTCCAGCCACTGCCCATCAGGTACACGCAGGGGGGAGGGCAGAAGAACCTGGACACAGGGGCAAACATTTATGGCTCCTTGGTTCCAAAATCCCTACACATCTTGTTCCCTCATTTGGTGACAACTACTATGCAGAGGTACATTTGCAGATGTGAAGCTTTTCAGAGGAAGCCTGAACCATTTAGACTGAAATACCAGCTGTTTTAGCTGCTTCATCTTCTGAAGATTATCTTTCAGGTTTTACTGTACATATGGTTTTAATCCATCTGCCTGGATAAAAAAAAAAAAAAGAAAAGAAAATAGAACTTCTGCACGATTGACAAAGATGTTCAGAAAAATCGCTGGCTTTAAGAACCTTCTACATTATTTGTATTAACACTGACAAATAAACAGTATTCTTGTGAAAAAGTTCAAAGACACAACCATTCTTTGAGTAGCATGAATTAGGCAATGTGCATCTCTCAACTGACACCAGAAGAGGGCAGACCGGTACCAGGCCTCAACCAGAT